AGCTTATTGTTTTGGTTTTAAAGCAATGATTTGTGGTCACTTTGCATCTGTCAGCTTTTTTTGTCAATTATTTTCCCAATTAATCATCAATAAGTCTTAAACCCAAATATATTTATATCTTTACAGTGACTGGAAACAAAAAAAGCAGCAAATCTGCACTCGTTTCAGTCGAGTAATCGTCTCAGCACTCAGATGATTTTAGAGTTCTGTCATCAGTAAACTGACAAACTAAAGTGCCATAAAATTCATAAAATAAATCACCCTGTGAAAATGGTTAAGCCCGGGACACAAGCTGGCTTTCTATTTACACCCTGCTACACTCTCACAATAGTCTACTGAACTCCTCAAGGCAGTTCAATGTACAGAAATTATGCTAGCATGATGCCAACAACCACTGCTGTTATTTAGCTGCAGGGCCAAAAGTGCAACCGTGAAGAATGGGAGCCCAGAAAAACAATCCGACTGTGCACATACATACGTGTGTGATGTTTTATTCTTTTTTTAATCTCCCTCAATCTCGAAAAACTGCTGTGACCCATGAATCGTGCAAAAAATACAATTTTAAAGCTACAAACGAGGCATTTCGTGTGTGTGTGTGCAATTTGAAGCTATCATTAAGAACTCAGTGGGAGAAGAAAACTGCAGGATAAACACGGATGGCAAGTTTTCCCGGACAAAGCAAAAGCCTGGAGGTGGTTCATATTCCACAGCTGGTCACGCTCCTCAAGCTGTTCTGATAGATATATGGGTCTGTGTGTGTTTGCATGTGTTTTTTTAAGTTGTTTTGGTCTATGGAGTCTGATGGTGAGTGATTTAGTGCTCTTTCTGGTAAAACAAAAGATCTATCTGTCTGTCGGTATCCATTTTATGTTGTTGTCAAACACTTTGAATAACAATCTGAGCCTCTCAAACAACCACTTTTTTAGCAGATGTACTTTGACGTGTGCATTCTTCACAAGGATTAGCTAACGTTACAGCCATAGAAGCCCATTTCTCAGCTACTGTTTCATCTAACGGGGTGGATTAAGGGTTTATCTTGACCAAACCAAGCGTTGGTGATTGTTGGAAAGACTGTGGAAAGACTAACAAAGAAGTTTTATATCTAGTCCTCAGTGCAGTAGCCTTGTAATGTATTACTGCGAGTTCTTCACAGTCAAAACACACATTTTAAGTCCATACTAGTGAGCACTTTCAATGACTTACTGTAGTGCATTCCATAGTCACTAACATAAACTTAATGCTAACTTTAACTCAAACAGAAGCAGAAAGAGGAACAAACAAAATGAACTGACTGTCGAAGTCTATAATAAACATTCTCTGGAGTGCACCAGAGATTATACCAAAGTCTCATAAAGCACTACACAGCTGACCAGAGTCTGACTGCTTGTTTGTCTGTGTTTTCATGTGCATGTGCATGTGTGTGTGTGTGTGATAGCATTTGAGTGTGTGGCAGCTGCAAACCTGCTGACCTACATATCTTCCTTACATGCAGTGCAGCCTATATACTGTACTGCTATTTAACACTGGCACATCGCACGCAACCCAGCACACACAAACACACACAGACATACACAGACTCACACATTGCTTTCATGGAATTGCATGTGCTACAGTATGCAACAAAAAAAACACATAGAAAATTACAAATGAAAGCCTCATAAAAGATTTAACCTCAAACAACCTACATTTGTGTGTGTCTCTCTCTTCCTCACACACACACACACACTCCCACATTCCTTCCTTCCCCATCATGCCCTAAATCATTCTGGACAGTTTATATTCCATGTTCAGCCCAAAGGAACTTACATCCATCTCCGGTCTCATGGAAAAACTATAATAAAAGGTGTTTCCCTTGTTCAGTCTCAAAAGAAAAAAAAAATGTGTTTTGTTTCTGGTGCTGAGTTTAGCTACCAGGATTATCTCAACATAACAGAGACAGAGACACTAAGATTAGAAATGAGTACTGGCAGTGGATGCATGAGGACTAATAACACTGACGGTGATATATAAGCGAGCAGGAATTCCTGTATCAACTCATCTCAGTCGAATAAGTCAAAACAGATTTGAGTCACGGTTAGAAGAAAATGAAATGCAGCAGAATGCTTTTAGACCTGGCTAACAGGCAGCACATGTAACACAACCATTAATAAAAACTATTTGTTTTATGTGTGTATCATGATAGTGTGGTTCTATTCACACTGTTATTTCACTATTTTTAAAAGATCATGTTTGGCCCCCTTCATCTGATTTTGAGAGACCTTTTCTCTTTCGTACTCTGTACTATGAAATTACATGTTTTTATAGTATTTTGGCAAATAAACACTATATTAGTAGTACCACTAATATGTGTTTTACTTCTGTCCCACTCCTAGAAACTGTCCCAATAATCCTAAATGGTCCATTTTGACTCTATTCTGTTCAGTTATTACCATCCTGCTTGATTTATTTTGTGGTTTGTGTGCAATCTATTCTTCTGCCTCTGGCTGCTTTGTGCCACTTTTCCTTTCCTGGTTCAGGCTGCACACTTACACTTACAAAAACTTACAAAACTACTCAGAAGCACATAAAGGGATATTGTTATTCATCATTATTTAACTGACATTTTTTTGTTCATACAGGGGCATTTTAATCTTGAGTACACATTAATTTCTTATCCTGGTGTATTTATATCTCAAATATGATGGGTATGATGTAGTTTCTGGTTTGTAGGAACCTTAAACTTACTAATGATGAAGTGTTTAGTGTTAAAATAAAGAAGAAAACTTCTTTTGTATAAAAATTGTCAACTTTTAACTTTTTTAGAATAATTAAAACTGTATCAGCACATTTAAAAAACGATTAGGAAACCTGGAGTGTATGTCTACGTGTGTTCATACAGCATGTACCTTCATCCTCATGTCCCGGCCGTGTTTCTCCAGCTCCTTCTTCATCTCTTGAGCTCCCAGTCGGGCAACATTCAGCACCAAATGCTTCCACTCGATTGGCTGGAAGATGTGGGGGTCGTGAGGCACATACAGGCCGATTTTCACCTGGGAGAAGCAGGCGATAAAATCAAACACATCCCTACTCATTCTACTAATACATCTGCTTCTTTCCTACCTCCATTACCTGGACTCCATTCTTTTACTCCCTACTCCATCCCTTCTCTTACCTTCTTCAGAGTGTGCTGGTATCTCTTGTAGGAGCTCTCGAACTCGGCCACCAGTTCTCCCAGAGTGCGGTGGGTCAGTGGTTTGTCCATCAGGTCCTGGCGGCGGCTCATGCCCAGTGATCCATAACGTCCGTTGCAGTAGACGCCCAGCACAACGTGGTGGAAGCAGTGGCCTGAAAACTGGGTCTTAAAGCTGATGGGGAAACGCTCGAGAGACGTCAGCCCGTTGGTCAGGTAGCTGGTCAACACACCGGAATTAAGGAAGGACCTGTTTGGTTTTTTTATTGTCTTGTTGCTCTCTGCACCACTTTAAATAAATATAAAACATTTGAGGACAAACCTGAGAGTGAAATTGTATTTGTTTGGATTTGTCACAGCAGAGGGGGCACAGCAGCTTGAGTCATGTTAAATTAGATTCAGTCTGACTCTCAGAAGGCCAATACTATGAAAATGCCACAGGGTAAACAATGGCTCTGCGACTGCCAAAGTTTGTGTTTGTGCAGCTCCTCCTGTCTGACTGAATCTGTCTGATTCATTGTTGTGTTTTCCTCTTATTTAACAAAAAAAACAAAGACAGAGAGACAGATTATCTATCTGATACCATCAGAAGCCCGAGGAGGTGATGACACACATGTTCAGGGTGTGTGTGTGGTGAAGGTAGTGATTATGTGCACCTCTTGACCTATAACCTCATTTTAGCTCACTAACATACGGATACAAACAGTTGGTGGCAGAGAAACGTTTGCAACATCTGTGATTTCAGAGTTTGTGCTCACTTCACAAAAACTGTTCCACTTCATGATAAAATGTTTGAGATGGAAATTTTAAGAAGTGAATCCAATCGATAACTGAATCGTCTATATTTAGTCAGCTCATGCTGTGGACTTCAGAGTTCAACGCTGACAGGGATCCAACTGCAGCAGTCTGTGCAACCACACACACACACGCGCACACACAGATCTGGAAAGTATCTTGGTCGGCCAGTAGCCCACCATCTGCTCTGTTCTGTCCACGGAGGCCTGTCATTGGCCAGAGTGCCTGTCTGTCACACTAACAGCCTGGATGCCTGCCGCACAGCTGTGTTTTCATTAAATTTTCACAAAGGGCCACCAACACAACTAGACCACTGATCACACTTCATGATCAACATGACTGTGTGTGTGTCTCCATGCTGTAGGTAAGCCTGCAGTGTTACAGCAGAACACAGACCTGAACAGGGTAGACTGGCCTACTGAATGATGAAACCACCAAACGTCCACAGTCTGGTGAAGTATCTCTAAGCAAGACACTGAATTCCTTCCCGCTAAGCCACTACCAGCTTTGAATTCTGTGTCTGTTCTGGAGTACACCCGAGTATTAATCATGACCTAAGAACATGCCACCTGCATTACAGCCAATTACAGAAAAATTTATATAATTTACTGTCTGTACAAATAGTACAGTTCCAATGAATATACATGTGTAGGTCTGTTGTGGTTTCCTGGTATTTCTGACTTAACTTAGTTTCGCTAGTTTCACGTCCTCATGATCTTAATGCAGTTTCTGTTGCATTTCATTCCACACATGCACACATGATCATCTGATAAGTAACTTAATTTCACTGCTGAGGAAAGATCAGTTATACTGTGAAGGGCTAAAAACAAACATACAAACACACATGCAGGGTTACATTAACCGCTGTGGTGATCAGGGAAGAAAGAAAGTCTGACTGCTATTAACAATGATTAACAACATGTCTGGATGCTAAATGTTTATGTTCTAGAGGAACTTGAGGCTGACCTCCTCCACCTACAGCTGACTCCAACGAGTGTATGTGTGTGTGTGTGTGTCGTGCACAAGGCTATTGTTCATCACAGTAACAGAAACACGAAGCCTGTACACCAAGTCTGCAGACACACCACACACCCTGCTGTTCCCCTCTAATGAATGGTTCATTAAACAAACACACTTCCTGTGATGGAGGACATGTGACGCTGCTAAGAGTAGCTCTCTCGCTCCCTCTCTTACTCTCCGTCAGTTGCCATGGAAACCACTACGAGAGAGTAGTCGGTTATTTTACAGCCAATGAGTACAGCATCACTTCTCTCTTTCTTACTCACACTTTATTGCTTGGAAATGAAGGCTAGAATAATAATAATTCATGACTCAGCTCTATCCATCTATCAGTCAATTACCAATTGTTGGAATGTGACAGCTCTGGTCTGCCTCCCATACTAACAGCAGACAGGCTTTAATCATCTGCATGAAATCCTTCAAATACTATATTTCTCTGGTCTATTTTTTAAGAGGCAGAGGTAAGTGAGAAACATTATCTATGGATACAATGCAGAGCTAATCCAATGAATTTTTAAACTCACTCTCTCTGACACATATTTCTTTCTCCTTTTACATCTGCATATTGCCGTCTCTTTCTCTCTTTTACCCGCCCCCCCCCCCCTCTTCATTCCCTTCCTCAAGATAAGAAAATACAGTAAAAGGCATAAAATCCTCTTTATGTGCGGGGCTTTTTTTTACCCAGAGTCATGTGCTTTCCTTGTCTTCATCATAAGCAAACTCAAGGCTCTGAGTTTCTTCAGCAGCAGCTTGGGGAATGGTCTTGGACTATGAGTATGTGGAAGTCTGGGGCTGTTCTTATGGCTTGCGCAAGGGAAAACTTAACACAACAGCGCACAGTGATATTTTAGACAATAAACACCATGTGTCCAACTTTGTGGCAACTGATTGCAAAAGGCCCTTTTCCTGTTCTGACGATGCATCCTACACAAAGAAGTCCAAGAAGAACTTGACTGGCCTGCATAGAGCCCATCCAGTGCTTCTGGGATGAAGTGGAACGCGATTTATCTCCCAGTATCAGTAGCCGACATTACTAACACTCTTGAGGCTGAATGTGAGCGAATTAGGTGGTTTTGGAATGAGATTTTCAGCAATCATACATGGTCTAATGTTCAGGTGTCAATGAAAAAAGTAAATTCCCTCAATCACCTCTGTCCTGATTTATGAAAAAGCCGATCTTTCTCAAGAAATATCAATTGATTAAAAGGTCTTTGTGAGCTGAACTTTTTATAAATCAATGCAGAGCTGATAAGTGTGTGCGGAAAGTGACTTTTTGGCTTTGAAACTTTTTTTTTTCTTTTCATTTTGCTTTCTACTCGTAGCGTAATGTTCAGGTGTCAACATACTTTAGGCAGTTTGCTCTGTTCTGCAGCCTCTAAGCAGCCTGCAAATTAAATATGTTTTGTATGTCTACAATACAATATGCATGCAGTCTCCATTGCCTTATTTACTCTGTAGCATTTTAGTTCTTTGTTTTGAAAAGTGCTTTGAAGTAAGTTCTTACACTGATTATTATTCAACTTGAGGCTGCTTTGTACTCTGGCCTTACTCTGCAAAGCGCTAGTCAGTGATGGTTAATACAATGAGACACAGAGTCAAACACACACAGTCAAATGCACACAGTCAAACCCACACAAAGAGCTGGTGTTACCCAAGATAAACCCTGAATATCCTGGAGAGAATTCAGATCACTGTTAACAGGGAAGGAAAGGAACCAGCGGCAGAGGACAGACTGAAGCCAGAAGCCAGAAGACACCTCCAACAGCCACACACTATAACAAAAGCTGCTATTCATCCCTCGTTCCCCACTGCTTTTTCTTACTCCTATCTCTTCCCAACACTGCCTCACTCTTTATTGTAGAGAACAGTCAGTGTAGGAACAGTCATTAAGTCATTAACAGAGTCAACTGGTAAGGTTGGTTATTATCTCAACAATAGCTGGTATGTTTACAGGGTGTGTCCACCCTTAACATTCATATTCAAATGTTGTCCATTCACCTGTGTCCGCAGGTAAGGCCTCATAGCTCAGTGGTTAGAGCACTGGTCTTGTAAACCAGGGGTCGTGAGTTCAATTCTCGCTGGGGCCTGAGTTCCTTTTTCGGCTTGGATGACCTCAGGTCCAGTGAAAGGTGACACTGCACAAACACACACTGTCCCATGGCAATATGAATGTGACAGTGTGAGGTTGTTTGAAGGGCACAAAGCCCAATCACTCGCACTGATCATCTATTCCTTTTCTCACTCCCTGTGGCTCATATGTTCCTTCATTCCTTCGCCTTCGTGTTATTTTTTCCTGTTGAGCTCTTGCCACTTTTTCTCTCTCTCTTCCTTTCATCTGTAGGCCAAAGTCAGTCTCAATTAAAGTCACTGTCAGCGGCCACCCTGACAGCCCTGGAGAAAAGCCACTGTGAAACTAGCACATGTGAAACTGGACCATCCATTCACGCACACACAGAGAGGTAGTCTCTCATGACTTGACATGTTTGCAGCACACACCACATATCAGCTCCTTTACATCCTGTAGTGTGGGTCACCACAAGCTGTACTACCTTCTTATGTCTGACAAAAACCCTCCAAAAGGTTTTTACTCAACAAAATAAAAATGACATTTCAGAGGCTGGAACCAGTGAATGCTTCATACAGTTTATATTAATCAAGGTTCATTGATTACAAAATCATTCAATTGTTTTTTGTTGTCTGTTAATTTATTAATCAATGTGTCATTCTAACACTTCTCTGGTTGAAAAAGATTTATGATGACAGCTGAATGAGGCTGAATTAGCCTTGACCTCAGCATTTGTAACCATGATGAAAAAAAACATATCCTCTCCGACACATTTGTATGTTGTCACATACAAGTCTGCAGTTCAAATGAAACAACTACTTCAGTAAAACTGCGATATTTAACGTGTGCACATACAGTAAGTCTGCATCCACGCAACCACAGACAGGTAGCAGAGCTCTAAAAAGACATCAAGGACCAATGATCAAGGGCCCACTTATACAGATGTTTGCCCACAGAGGCTCCATGTCAAGACACAATGACTAAGAGCAACCACTGATTTGTTAAATGGGCCTTTGTAGTCAAACCAGGGCTTCGGTGCTTTTCCACTAGAGAATAATCAAGCACTGTTTCTCATTTAAAACTGTAGCTGACCAAATCTGTTAAGACAGAAAAAAGGGCAGGTTTTCTGGAGATTAAATGTCAAAACTGTTGCAAAAATTACAGACTGCTGCTTTAAAATGTAAGCTCTGCTGGGTGATACTAAGCTTGTGTGTGTGTGTGTATGGTGGGGGGTTATACTTAGAAGAGGGCTTGTTGCCAGGCAACACGGAAGAGCTGGAAAGGGTGGTGGTGGTAGGGGGGCATTAGGACATTAGAGCAACATATCTCATTGATTTCACCCACAGATAACAAAATAACCTCTTGGCCCAGTGTGTGTGTGTGTGTGTGTGTGTAGGAAAGGATACATTCCCAAGATGACGGCTTCAAGACATTTGATTGGCAAAGACTCCCTGATCATCTCTCTTGCCGTCTCCATTAACCTGGAGGAGGAGGAAGAGGAGGAGATGAATAAACAGGAAGGGGAATGAAGAGGATGAGTGGGAGTAGGAAGCAGGGAAGGGGAGGCGAAGGAGGAGGAACGGGAAGAGAAGAACAAGGGAGAGGGAGAGTGGAAATCATGAGGGAAAAGAGATGTAGAAAACATCATTTAAATTTTAAAATTCATGGGAAAACTATAGATTAACTCTAAGCACAAGGTTTTATGTATTTGGGGTAAATATCTAAGATTTGCCTTCAGAAAAGTATTTCTGATTCGGATTTTGCAAATGTCTTTCACCTGTGAGGTTTGGTGAGAGCTGGGTGAGAAATCTTATTTTTAATACCACTCCCATCAAGATGCTCTGATAAGATAAGCAACTTGATGTAAATACTAAAGGGCAAACAAAGACCAAAACAAACCAATTAAAATGGCATTAAGGCAAACACTTTAAATGCTTCAGTGTTATGTTATGTTGGGAGGATTTATTGATCTCCACAGATGAAGTCTCTTTTTCCCCACCCTCTACAGGGAGGTCAAAGGTGGTTGGTGGTCTCCCGCTCACTACTACAGCATGTTGTCATATAATCAGACTAACTAATCAGCCGGCTTTAGTTACAGCAGCTATTGTATTGTATTGTATGCGTCAAAGAATATAGGATTTACTCACAGCAATGTCACTGTCAGTGTCAGTGTCAGTGCTTTCTATTTGGTTCAAATTTGACCACTTCAGGTACATTTAATTCAAAATATAAACAAAAATGAGACTATGCTTCCAAATGTCCAAATAAGATTAAGCTGTATGTAAAACATGTTTATACTAATAATGAATAATGAATGCTGTTAGGGCAATCAGACAGAGGTATTTACATGAACATTGTGATAAATGGATTGTTGTGGTCGCCTAATTATTATCAAATGACACTGTAATTGCATGTCCTTTTTCAAAGCTGCAGTCCACTTACCCACACAGTGGACGGCTCTTTTTGATTTCAAAGAATTGGGTTCCTGTGTGGTTGTATCTGAAGGAATTGTTAGGGACAACAGGATTTTTAGAGTACAGCAGTCTTCACTGTTGCTTGTCTGTCCCTCACAGAGCACTCCTGAAGTTGCCGTCACACTGGTATCTCAACATGGACATGTAAAATGCAATGAGACACCAACAGACTAGCTTCACCTGACAGATGTAGCTCTCATCATGACATGTGCTGCCTTGTGTTCTTTGTTAAAGGATACTGCAGAGCCTTCATGTAGTTCTGGATGGCCACCAGCCAGTCAGGGACCGACATGGACGGTTTGAAGTTCGGGACTGAGGGAACAGCATGCTAAAGAAAGAAAGAGAGAGAGAGAGAAAGATGATTTCAAGCAAATCAACATCTGGTAACATTCAGGGTCCTAAAACCACCATCTTTAAAAATCTGCCTTTTCAATGACCCGTGGCTCATTACAGCTCAACACTCTGATGTTCCACCACTGCTGGAATAAATAAACACTGGCTACACTAGTGAACTATTTATACTACTATTAAAGAATATTAATTCAAAGCTGCAGCGCTACATTTGTTCAGCCAAGAGTGACAGTGGTACACTTATAGCCTTGTGTGCAGAAAATTAAAACAAACCCCACGTTTATCTACATTAGATAGCTTGCAGTGGGTAGCCACAGGAAATAATATGACAAACAGATGGATGGCAAAGAACAAAAGCCAGTCTCTAACCCAGAACGTCAGGGTAATGTGGTGTGCGCCACCTTAGACCGCTGTGCCAACAGACACCCACATTGTGAGGACAGAGGCTTGTGGTGAAAACGAAAACCACGTTGCTGTCTCACCTCAACAAGAACCATTTCAGAGAGGAAACCGAGGTCACAGATGTGGATTCATGAAAAGGACACGACCACACCGGCAGAGAGTGAGTCAGGCTCGAACACAAACCGACACTTCCTCTGACACACAGGCAGCCCGTGTGCTCTGTGTGTGCGCAGGAAGGGTGAAGTACAGCAGCAGCCCTATCATTTCCTGTGGGTTTTTGCTTCACTGTTTATTTACAGCATAGAAAGAAAGCTGAGGAGGAAGACAACAGGGCAAAATGGAGGTCAAGCCCTGATACTTTTTATGGCGAATTTGTTTTGTTTTTTTGCAAAATCTTTGGGGTCATAGCATAAAACTGGGGCAAATGTGATCTACCGAGATGTACATTTAAATAAACCTTATAAATTGTGGTAGACCTCTATCATAGCACCCTACGTTTGTGGATGACGACACATTTACACCTATTACACTATGGACATCTTTATAAAAAGGCAGTCAGCCATTCAACAAGTTATTTAGCCATTAACCCACTCACTTTATACAAACAGTAGATCAGCCATTAAATCAGACGGTCAATAAGTCATTGAGCAAGTAAAACAAACAATCAACTGCTCACTCTTGTAGTTATCAGGCCGGCCAATAGTCATTCAGCCCATAAACCAATCTGCCAGCCAGCCAAGATAAATAAATAGCAGGTTTTACTGGTGCATAATCTCTCATGTAGTGAAATCCTCACTAAGGCGTAATACAGCATCAGCTGGCCAGTGAGAGGGACACACACACCACCACACACACACACACACACACACACACACACACACACACACACCACACAGACTCTAAAAGCTGCTTCTCTGCTGGGTCAGGGAGTGAGATGACTGGTGATCCCTCATTTTCTATCCTCTCCCTTTCTTCTCTTGCCTACACGGGAATGTCAGTTAGCCTTGCCATTCTTTCTGCTGCTGCCATCACATTCGGTGCCAAACCATTCATATAAAAAGCTCGATTTTAAATGCGGTACGGCCAACATCCATTTGACCGTTTCGTGTTTGTCCTTGAGCTGGGCAGCCAATTTGCATGCTGACCTCAAGTGTTTCAGGATCACGTTTTGGCAAAACTTTTAATTTCTCATTCTCAGCGCCTTTCAAAACAAAAGGATGTTAGCATGGGCAAATTATTCAATTCTTTAAAATGACGCGGTGGTATGTAGAACTGCGCATTTTAAGCTGTTCCCACCCCAAAACTTTTGAGGGGGGGCCTTAGCAGGGACAGTCAGCCACTTGAGATGCTTTTTATGAATTTTATGTTGGCCTGAAAATATCAGGCGTTATGGTTCTTTACAGCTGTCACAGTTTTTCCATATTACAAACTGTACGTGACTTACAGGAGGCGTACGTTCCTTGTTGGAGAGGTCAAAATGTTAGGTTGCAAGTGTGACGTAGGGGGGCCTCATTCACCCTGGGGAACGAGCAGCCTCCAACAGCTAAACTGCCAACGGAGGCGATTTGCCATTCTCAATCCAGGATATCTATATTGTTTACCAAAGTGTGACAAAGTGTCATTAAACAGTTCAGCGGGGGGAGAGGTCACTTATACACACGGCATGGCAGGTGTTGCTACCCTATTTCCTTAAGAAGAAAACCCACATTTGGTCCTGAATAACTTGAAACTAACAAGCAAAATATTAATAAAAAATTACTGGCAGATTAACTAAGAAAATCAGCATTGTTTTGATTGGGGGGTCTCATGACTTCATTTTAAAAAACATTATTGAAACAGGGCCTGGCAAACTGTGTCTATCCCTAGAAACTTGGAAAATAATTTGACTACTAGGCTTAAATGTTAATGGACTCTTGTATGCGCCTTTCTAGCTTCTTTCCGACCACTCAAAAGCGCTTTTACACTCGTGCAACATTACTCAGTGGGATGGCAAACCCATCGACAGAAACCCCCCAACTCCTTCATACACTTTCACACACCGATGCTGGCATCGGGAGCAATTTTGGGGTTCAGTTCTTGTCAAGGAACTTCGGACACGTGGCAGGGGGGCGGGGATCGACCAACACCTTCTGATTGGGGAGACCCGCTCTTGCCTCTTGGCCACGCCATGGGGTGACATGTTAAACTTTAGGTTTTCCTGTAATTAGCCTCCAGGTGTCTTCAAACTTGATAATCCTCTTTTTAAGCCTATTTAAAAGGGTGAAAGGTAGTACTGTGCTGCTTGGTATCAATGGTGTGCCACTGACATGGACACGAAGCTAAAGGAGGAGTTGTTAGAAATATTATGAAAGCATGTTAAAGGTAACGCTATAACCCTGTCCAGCAGCTTTGAGATGTTCTGTGACTATAGTTGCACATATTATTTCAGAAGTTTAAGGTCCACTGGACTGTAACACCTCCTGGACGTGGCGAAGAGGACAATTGGGATGACAAATTGAAGAGACGGATAATAGGAAATAGTAACAAAGGCCAGAAACTTCCAACGGATTAGAGGTGACCTCCAGGTAATCAGGTCAGATCGCACAATACGTCGCTGGGTTTGGCAAAGTGGACGGCCGAGGAGACACATGTTGAAGCAATCATAAAAAAAAGCGAGCTTGGTTGCAAATGAATATGCAGGCCACACAGCTTCTCGGGAGAATATCCTTGGACAGATGTGACAAAAACTGGAGCTTCACTATGCTCTCATGTTACACAGGCGCAAAAATGGAATCACCAAGAAAAGACACTGTACCTACTGTGAAACATGGAGGAGGCTCGGTTATGTTCTGGGGTTGCCGTGCTGCGTCTGGCACAGGTTGTCTTGAATCTGTGCAGGGTACAATGAAATCTCAAGACTAAAAAGGCATTCTGGAGCTAACTGTGCTGCCCAGTGTCAGAAAGCTTGGTCTCAGTCGCAGGTCATGGGTCCTCCAACAGGATAATGACCCAAAACACACAGCTAAAAACACCCAAGAATGGCTAAGAGCAAAACATTTAACTATTCTGAAGTGGCCTTCTATGAGCCCTGATCTAAATCCTATTGAACATCTGTGGAAGGAGCTGAAACATGCAGTCTGGAGAAGGCACCCTTTAAACCTGAGACAGCTGGAGCAGTTTGCTCACGAGGAGTGGGCCAAAATACCTGTTGACAGGTGCAGAAGTCTCATTGAGAGTTACAGAAATCGCTTGATTGCAGTGATTGCCTCAAAAGGTTGTGCAACAAAATATTAAGTTCAGGGTACCATCATTTTTGTCCAGGCCAGTTTCATTAGTTTGCTTTTTTTTAAATGATTCTGTTGAACCACAATTCAAAAGCAATGTCTGATTTTCATTAGTTAATTTCCAGTAAATTTGTATTTATTATTACTTTTCCATTGTGGGTTTTTCTTTCTTTAACGGAAGGATACCAACAATTTTGTTCACATGTAGTCCCATTTTAGACTGGTATTTCCCTCCCTTCCTGTTCTCTCCCTCCCTTCTCTTCTGTTATCTTCTCCTATCCCTCCCCTTCACAGTTATCTCAAATCTTTCTTTTTGCTTTCTCCCTCCTTTTCCCTTCTCGCCCTCGTCTCTTCCCCTTGAGTTTTTCTGTCACACCCCTTTCTTTGCCATCTTCTCTTATGTCACATGGTCTTTCCAGTCCTCCAGTCCTCCTTGTCACTTTTTTTACCCAGCTCTAGTTTATTTTTTCCTGCCAGCCCTCCAATCCTGAGCCAAGAGGCAACCTGACCCACCCAGCAGCAGCGACACAAAACACAGGGACAGTAACTAAAGAGACAATTTTGAGATTTTTTTTTTTTTTGAATGTTAGAAGGTAATGGGGGATGTGAAGTAGAAAGTGGTGGGAGGAAGAAAAACGAAAAGTTAACGAGAGTAAGCAGAGCATTAAATGTAACTTGCACAGCCTTTAAAATAAAAGGTTATTTCCTATTAATTTAAGCATTTTTACATTTTCGTCACGTTATCAAAGTCACCAGGTATGAGGAGATGAAGAGATACTACGGATAATACAGACCTATTACCTTCAAAGCACTTTTGCTGTGTGTGCATTGGAAATTGCAAAACAACCGTGCAAGAAGGAGAGAGGGAGAGAGACAGATCTCATTTCATGCTGTCAAGAAGATATCTTTAGAGCGGGACATCCCAGGGAATGCCTTTCTCTCTGATCTCTGTGTGTGTGTGGCGAGCGAGACAGCTGAGAAACAAATGATTAAGCAAAGTCCCGACGTGATTCTACTCATTTCTTGCAATCATCCTTTTTATTTGGTTATATAAGAAGTGATGACAGCTTTTTCCCGAGGACTTCAGTGCTGACAGCCGTACTTAACTGTAGTTTGTACTACAGTAATCACAGTAAAGAACACCTTCTTGAAGATTATTGCTGTAGTCTGTAATTCTTTGCCTCAGAGAACATCTGTCTAAACTAATCCAAGTTGGCCGGGATCCATACATACCGACGTCCAATCCAAAACATGCCATTTGTATCCTGAACTGAACAAATTGCCACAAGCGTCTGCAGACAGAAGTGGAATTGTTTGGTTATCGTATGTCACTGAGCTGGTTCTGCCAAAAAACGTCCTGTTCAAGTGTAATCTGTTAATGCCATCCAAAATAAAATCCCTTTGTCACATCATGAAGAGAAGCATTTTACTCCAGAACAATGGAACTTACAATGGATTACGGGAATGAAAAATGCCTTTTATTCTATTTCTTTGGTGACAACATCTACGTTACAGTTAGTTTTAGTCACTGCTCTTGTCCAGCAACCACACATCCAGTGAACATCGAGCACACCAGTATGTTTTATTTCACATTTCAAATGAAAACAACAGATGAAAATTGAAAGCCTAAGAAAGGATTGGGAAGTGAGTAATGGCCAAAAACGTCCAATTACAGTGATGTTGAATACATATCTTGGATTAAAAGATTTGTTTTTTCCAGATTTGCTTAAAGAGCTTTGACAGAGATCTTTGCTCAGACAAGTTCTACCCAGTTTTGGTTCCTATTAAAGGTCCTTTAGGTAGTCCAGTTGGCATCCAGAGATTATCCACTACCCAGATTGTATTAGAGGGATTTGGTCCCTGTGCCAAGACTTCAATTCAATTAGTGAGGGCACGGAGAGTGGCAGCGTAGACTCTGGTCGCTGACAATAACACAGACGTACACTGTGTTAAGTCTACCTGAATGCCACATGTTGCATTTTGAAAGTGATTCAAAGGACCTACTTTTCTGATCTGTATACCTCAGCA